CTGGGCTGCCACCGGCTGTGGAGGTACATATGCTGCCTGAGGCTCCTCCTCCCTATCTGGGGCTGGTGCTACGGCCCTGCCTCGACCTCAGGGACGGCGTCTACCCCAGGCTGAGGCTCTGCTTGCAGACCCGGGTGCGCTACCCCTGGCCGCGCCACCTCGCGTGCGAGCCATCCTGCGAAAGAGTGAAATAAGTGAGATTTCCAGAAACCAATAAGACACACGATGCACGAAAGGGAAACAAAAGAGGAAATTTTCCTAAGGACATCCTGTAGCCTCCCGAAGATAACTTACGGACGTCTCCGCACCGATATGCAGGACTCTACTAGACGTTAGCTCTGTACAAGTGAGACCGATAAACCTGGGGCTCTGATACCAACTTGTCACGACCCAATTTCTCAAGTCATGATGGCACCTACTACCCACCAGTAGGTAAGCCAACCCGTAAACCGGAACAACAAGTAATGGGTCTGAGGGTAGAAACTAAACAAGAGTAGGCAAATAACAATATAAACAAGCGGAAGCAAACCAAAAACATATATACAAATAAAGATCCCTCCCAGAACCTGGAAGTCACTAGTACAGAGCTACTAACAAAATGAGTACAAGTCCCAAAAGTGGACAACAGAGACTGGACTGTCTCGAAAGGTAAAAGACAAGTCTATATATACAGATGGAGACTGAAATAGTACAAAACGTCGTGTGCTCACTCCCGTCTCCGGATCAGTCTGCTCCAAGCTCGATCAACGCTGGCTACTAGTGCCCGGACCTACATCACGAAACAGATGTAGAGCGTAGCATGAGTACCAAAACAACCGGTACCCAGTAGGCATCATAGGCCAGATGCAGAGCGTAGCATGAGTACCAAAACAGCTGGTACCCAGTAGGCATCATAGACCGACTGAACTTGAAAAGTAAAGGCAGTATGAAAAGAAGGAATAACACAAACCGAAGTCAAGAACTAAAATCTAACTAACAAGGGAATGCACACGAGTGTACAAAGAACTAACTAAAGTAATCTATAAGCTAACTACACCTAACTGGGCCCCCATAAGCCCAGAAGGTACACTCGTGCGCAAGTTAAATAAAAACCCGAACGGACCCCCATAAGCCCGACGAGTACACATAATAACTATAACTAAAGAGAATTGCATAAAAGAACCCATGAACGAAGAACATCGAACCAGAACCTCAACCCTAATTAGTAGAATCTGACAGTACGGAGGCCGGACCTCGAACCGGATGCTCACCAAAAGTACCTAAGTAACCAATCACAAGTAACAAGTATAAGAGGTCAGAACTCTAACCGGATGCTCTATATAAGTATCTGAGCAATAGAGGCCGGAACTCTAAACCGATGCTCTATATAAGTAACTGGGCAATAGAGGCCGGAACTCTAACCGGATGCTCTATAAAGGTGCCAACGTAGCTGTTGAAAGAGTCCCAATCGATCCATACTCATAAATGTCCGTGAAACGCCGTCCACACATAGCCAATCAATGAAAGTCCTTGGAACCAAATTCAAATCGCGAAGTAGAACTAGTGTTGCTGATGTAACTCGTGAAGCCGTAACATCGGGGAAAATAAGGATAACTATAGTCGGACAAAGAGTATCGCCTAACTAAGGCCCAAACTATCAGACTCAAGTCTGCTACACCAGTCTACAGGGATTTAAGCCGGCCGAGCGACGTCGGGGCAAAACTAAGGCCTATCGGATCCGAATCATGTATTTCTAAGGCAAGCCCTAGTCAAACCTAAACTAAGGCCCAACATGCTTCAAATAAATAATAATTAAGCATGCAAGCACTCCACATAGAGAGGAGGGTCCATTAATAACACAAAGCATGCTCACAGTTACCCGATAATTCTCGAAATAGGCCGAAAACATGATTTCTAATCACCTATGCATGATTCAATAACTACCCAACCCAAATCCCAACTAATCAACATGCATTCACATTTTCGAGTTCAATCTAAGAGAGGAAAACCGTAGCCTACCTGTAGGCCAATCACACGAGCTCCAAAATAACTTCTCCGGAGCTTTCCCTTTCCGAACGTCCTTGAAACGCTGCCCCGCTATCAAAAATAGGATCACAACGTTATTACAGTCGTTTAGACACCAAAATCACAACAAATGGAGACGAGTCAATTTTGAAGTCAAAACGGGAATCGTGGGACCCGCGCTGAAAATTCCGAAATT